TTAGGGTTAAATTTAAAAACTGTACTTTTGAGTTAAAATATATATTTATAATTTTAATAAATGACAAATAAAAAAGGCATGAACATTTTTTTTGTATCGAAAAAATATCGAACTGTGACACCAAAGTATCGAACCGAACCGTGAATTTTGTGTATCGTTGCACCCCTAATATATATAAATAAATAAAATCTGGAATAATATTCCTGTCTGTTTTTATTCATATTTATGTTTAAAAAAAACATTGTTTTAGTGTGTTCAATAAACGTTTATCTTGTTTGGCCTAAAGTGTTGAGTTTTGGCCCTCTGTGCAATTGAGTTTGACACCCCTGCTCTAAAGCATGCTGCCACTTCTGCCGTCTACATTGCCTTGTTGTTTTTTTTCAGGGTCCGGCTACAGCTGTTCAGAACACAGAATATGGGCTGGGGAGTGAGAGCCATGCAGGATATCCCTCAAGGAACATTCATTTGCGAGTGAGGATTGTTTCATAAGTGAAGCAATAAAATGTAGTGTGTTTAAGAGCATAAAAGATATATAAAATGAGCTGTGCTATAAGCTCACTTCCGTTCTGATCCACAGGTATGTTGGCGAGATCATCACAGATGGAGAGGCTGACAAAAGAGAGAATGATTCCTTCCTGTTTACTCTCGACAATAAGGTGATTCAATAAGTTTAAATACATTTTTAAAGCTGCACTCAGCAGAGTTTATTTATATATAACCATGGATAAAAGGAAGTCCATTTTTTGCAATTCTAAAGTCTTAGTGTAAATTGTAGGTTAAGGTACAACGTCTTGAAAAATCAGGCACTGTGTTGAAGACTTTGTAGTACTGTATCACCCCAACAGAGCTCCTCGCTCTCAGACTGCGGGCTTACTTGTGGTTTCTACAGTATTTAAAGTTAGGATGAGAGTCACAGCCTTCAGCTTCCAGTATGGATTCAGGAAACAGACACCCTCTGTACTTTTAAGACTAGGGTTAAAGCTTTCCTTTTCGATTTTGGTCTTTCTGACTTAGTTTCTCAGGTCATTTTAGAGAAATTTTGGCCCACTAATTTTCACAACATTGCTTCAGTTTCCAGGCATTTGTTTATGAACAGCTCTTAGTGTCCTGCCACAGCGTTTCAATAAGGTTGAAAACTTGACTTTGACAGGACTATTGCAGCACCTTCATTCAGTCCAACTATTCTGGAAATGAATTGCTGCTGTGAGCAGCAGTTTACATGTTCTCACTGTAGGTTCAACTTAATAATAAAACTGTTGATAAAATCTAGATTAACTGTTTGCTTTTGTAGAAGCTGATCATATGTTTTTTTGCTCTTTCAACTTCATCATGGGGGTGTCACCTTTTTCTAACATCTATCTTATCAAAAGGCAGTCATTAGCAGGATACAAATTTTGCTTTCCTTTTTTTCTTTTTGGTTTGTTTTTTTAACATGTGTGCAGGTTGGGGATGCCCATTGTATTGATGCAAGACTCTTTGGCAACATTGGTCGCTTCATCAACCACCTGTGTGAGCCCAACCTACTGGCTGTGAGGGTGTTCACCATGCACCAGGACTTACGCTTCCCCCGGATAGCCTTCTTCTCCAGTCGGTCCATCAAAGCTGGAGACCAGATAGGGTGAGTGGTGACGAAAAATCAGTGGGCCCAATAATGGCTATTTGCTAAATGGCTGATCAATTAAAAAGCAAAAAGATGGGAGAAATGCACTTTAACCAAGTTATGAGTGCTGAGGTTGCATAGTTCATCCAGCAGAGGGCACTTTGCAACTTCCCTGTTGGGTAACCATCCAAACAGCATAAAATAGTAATTAAATAAGCGTGTATGTAAATGTGTCAAGTGTCTGCCTTGGGATCTCCTCAGAGTAGTACACTACCAATCAAAAGTTTGGACACACCTTGTCATTTAATGGTTTTTCATTGTATTTCCTATTTTCTATATTGTAGAAGCATGCTGAAGACATCAAATAGATGAAGCAAGATATATTAAATTATGTAGCAAAGAGAAGAAATGGATAAATAACTCTAAATGTGTTTTATATTTTAGATTCCTGAAAGTAGCCACGCTTTGCTTTGTTGATGGCGCTGTACACCCTTGGCCTTCTCTTAGTGAGCTTCATGATGTAGTCACCTGAAATGGTTTTTACTTCACAGGTGTGCCTTGTCAGGGTTTAATTGTTGCCTTCTTAATGAGGTTGGCACCATCAGTTGTGTTGTGCAGAAGTCAGGTTAGTACACAGCTGATAGCCATATTTGACAACTGTTAGAATTCATACTATGGCAACATCTGTTTGCTTTTGTAGAAGCTGATCATGTGTTTTTTGTTCTTTCAACTTTTATGCGTCACACAAAGACATACAGGGAGTGCAGAATTATTAGGCAAATGAGTATGTAGTCCACATCATCCTCTTCATGCATGTTGTCCTACTCCAAGCTGTATAGGCCCGAAAGCCTACTACCAATTAAGCATATTAGGTGATGTGCATCTCTGTAATGAGAAGGGGTGTGGTCTAATGACATCAACACCCTATATCAGGTGTGCATAATTATTAGAAAATGGGTCAAAAGAAGGACTTGACAGGCTCAGAAAAGTCAAAAATAGTGAGATATCTTGCCGAGGGATGCAGCAGTCTCAAAATTGCAAAGCTTCTGAAGCGTGATCATCGAACAATCAAGCGTTTCATTCAAAATAGTCAACAGGGTCGCAAGGAGCGTGTGGAAAAACCAAGGCGCAAAATAACTGCCCATGAACTGAGAAAAGTCAAGCGTGCAGCTGCCAAGATGCCACTTGCCACCAGTTTGGCCATATTTCAGAGCTGCAACATCACTGGAGTGCCCAAAAGCACAAGGTGTGCAATACTCAGAGACATGGCCAAGGTAAGAAAGGCTGAAAGACGACCACCACTGAACAAGACACACAAGCTGAAACGTCAAGACTGGGCCAAGAAATATCTCAAGATTGGTTTTTCTAAGGTTTTATGGACTGATGAAATGAGAGTGAGTCTTGATGGGCCAGATGGATGGGCCCATGGCTGGATTGGTAAAGGGCAGAGAGCTCCAGTCCGACTCAGACGCCAGCAAGGTGGAGGTGGAGTACTGGTTTGGGCTGGTTTTTCATGCAGGACAATGTTCCATCACACGCGTCCAAGTACTCCACAGCGTGGGTTGCAAGAAAGGGTATAAAAGAAGAAAAACTAATGACATGGCCACCTTGTTCACCTGATCTGAACCCCATTGAGAACCTGTGGTCCATCATCAAATGTGAGATTTACAAGGAGGGAAAACAGTACACCTCTCTGAACAGTGTCTGGGAGGCTGTGGTTGCTGCTGCACGCAATGTTGATGGTGAACAGATCAAAACACTGACAGAATCCATGGATGGCAGGCTTTTGAGTGTCCTTGCAAAGAAAGGTGGCTATATTGGTCGCTGATTTGTTTTTGTTTTGTTTTTGAATGTCAGAAATGTATATTTGTGAATGTGGAGATGTTATATTGGTGTCACTGGTAAAAATAAATAATTGAAATGGGTATATATTTGTTTTTTGTTAAGTTGCCTAATAATTATGCACAGTAATAGTCACCTGCACACACAGATATCCCCCTAAAATAGCTAAAACTAAAAACTACTTCCAAAAACATTCAGCTTTGATATTAATGAGTTTTTTGGGTTCATTGAGAACATGGTTGTTGTTCAATAATAACATTATTCCACAAAAATACAACTTGCCTAATAATTCTGCACTCCCTGTATGTAAAAAGAAATGACTGTCCATCATTGCTTTAAGAACTGAAGGTCAGCCAGTCCAGAAAATTGCTAAAACTTTAAATGTGTCCCCAAGTGCAGTCGCAAAACCATCAGGCATTGCGATGAAACTGGCTCACAAGGAAGACCAAGAGTCACCTCTGCTGCTGAGGATAATTTCATCCGACTCACCAGCCTCAGAAATCGCAAGTTAACAGCACCTCAGATTAGAGCCCTGATAAATCCCATACAGAGTTCCAGTAACAGACACATCTCTACATCAACCTTTCAGAGGAGACTGTGTGAATCAGGCCTTTATGGTCAAATAGGTGCTAAGAAACCACAATTAAGGAAAAGCAACAAGCAGAAGAGATTTGTTTTGGCCAAGAAACACATGGACATTAGACCAGTGGATATCTGTGCTTTGGTCTGATGAGTCCAAATTTGAGATCTATGGTTCCACCTGCCATGTCTTTGTGTGACACAGAAAAGATGAATGGATGGTCTCTACATGCATGGTTCCCACCATGAAGCATGGAGGAGGTGGTGTGATGGTGTGGGGGTGCTTTGTGGCACAGTTGGGTTATTCGAAATTGAATGCACACTGAATCAGCATGGCTACCACAGCATCCTGCAGCAACAGGCCATCCCATCCCTTCCCATGCCTTCAGTGAGAATCTACAACGTAAATAGTTATAAAAATAAAGAAAAACCATTAAATGACAACGTGTGCCTGGGAGACTTGGGAGCCTTGGGAGACTTTCACATTGACTTTGGGAGCCTTGGGAGACTTTCACATTGACTTTGGGAGACTTGGGAGCCTTGGGAGACTTTCACATTGAGTAATAGCAACATATTTTAATGAGATGCAGGGACAAAAATAACCACTGCATGTGACTGCTGAGACTAATGTGTACTCAAAGTTTTAGATGAATTTGTTTGGAAACTGAATTGTTCTTCATGCAGCAGGGTGCAAAGATGAAGCTTCTGTCTGAGTAATAATGTTGGAAATCTGTTTTATGTTTCTGAACGAAGAAAACAAAATTGGCCAATATATCGGAATATCTGATTTTTAAATGACCAAATATCAGTATCTGTATTAAAAATCAGAAATTGTCCAGGCTGTAGGATGAACAAGTTAACACAGTTGTTCTCTTTTCCTCAACAGGTTCGATTATGGTGATCACTATTGGAGGGTGAAAAGCAAGTACTTCAGCTGTCAGTGTGGATCTAATAAGTGTCGTCACTCAGTTGCTAGTAAATAGAAATTCACTGATTCCTCTTTGTTACTGTGGCCTCTTTAATGTAAGAAACACTGCCCCCTGAACCAGACACCATGTAAGAGTAATGTCATGACTACACGCAGTTATGTTGTCTGATATTTACCTGAAATGAAAGAGAGACATGTTTTAATCACCAAAGCACAAGATCTAACTTATTATAATGAAGTTACTTTTCTGCCAGAAAAAATAGTGCTAATGAAGACTGAGAGACACAGATGATTTTTACATTCATGGATTCTTCCTTTCATATTTCTACATGTGGAATAATGAAGTTAACTGATTTGTGGTAGTCTGAGTTCTTTTGTGAACTTTTAAGTTTTTAACCTCATGTTTGCTTTGTAGTCATTAAACATATTTTATATCATCTGTGGTATTTTTTTGTGTTAATAGAGAAATGTTTCAGTAGATGCAGCTTTTTTCCCTTCTTTTTGCCGGATGATGAGGTCTGTGTTACATTTGGTATTCCAGTTCATCTCAGGCTTCTTGGATTGATGGTAGTGATTAGGGGTGGGCTTTTATAATCGACTTATCGATTCTGGCTTGGATAACGTAAAATCAATTCATTAAAATCCTGAATCGATTTTTTAATATAAATTTATTTTGCCTGAAATGCCAGAATCTCAGGTAAAATCTCACAAAATTTCAACCACCACCAAACAGCTAAGACAGTAAATGAGAGCAGAAACACGGATTCTGCACAAAGACTTAAACACACAGCGCGACCCGCGGATCAGAATCAGTTAGATGTCGCCTTTCTCACGGTTGGGGCTGAAAGCCGACAGCTTGGTGATTCTGATCTGCCGCGCTTTGTGTTCACGCCCTTTATGCTTTTTGTTACCTAGTGGCTACACAAGCCAAGAAGTACCAACGACTGGATTTGGTGTGTGGTAGTGACAGGTATATGAACTTTTTTTTTTTATTATTTGAATATATATGAGTGCTTGTGTATAAATACACAAACAATACACGTATACTTTCAATTGTGTAATTTAAGTGATCTAGATAGCTCTGTTTTGGAAGTTCAGTTAACGCTAGAAATGTGTTTTGGAATTTGTACGTGCTTTGTCTCTAGGGGCCACCATATATATTTATATATAAACATATATAAATAAAACCACATGGGTTTTTTTTTGTGTTTTTTTTTGTTTTTTGTTTTTTTTTTACATTAGTAATTCCTTTTGTGCATAATTTTATATTATTGTTAATAATATATTAATTAAAGCAACAAAACAACCTGAAGAGCCGGCTCTTTTAAGTGATCTGAGCCGAAAAAGCTGGTTCTCTAAAAAGAGCCGGAAATCCCATCACTAATTGATGGGTTTGAGAGTATAGATTGTATGCAAAGAAGGTAAATCTAGCCATACAAATCTCTTTTTTTTCTTTTTTCTTTTTTTAAATTATAGCCATCACTGTTAACAAAACGTATGATGCCTTTTGTATGGCCTCCTTTAACAACGTGCTAACCTTTTTTACAATCAATATTGTATGGATGTATCGAAGCTGGATGTGACAATTTGTTTAAGAGCAGGGGTTTGATGAGAAATTTACAGCCTAGTAAAACCACTGCATAAAAACTGATCCCTTTCGTTTAGATTAAAAGGGGGGGAAAGTACAAAATTAATATGCAATTAACCGGTGATTTACAAAGATTACGAACAGCATGTTTTAATTTAAGTAATCCTCTTCCACTCCTCCATGATGATGTCGCGGAGTTTGTGGATGCTAGAGAGCTTGCGCTCCTCCACCTTCCATTTGAGGATGCCCCAGAGATGCTCCATAAGGTTTAAGTCTGGAGTTATGCTTGGCCAGTCAGTACCTTTACCCTCAGTTTATTTAGCAAGGGACTGCTCTTTTTCGAGGTGTTTGGGGCTGTTATCATGTTGGAATATTGTCCTGTGGCCCAGTGTCTGAAGTGAGGGGATCATGCTCTGCTTCAGTGTGACACAGTACATGTTGGCATTCATGGTTGCCTCAATTAACTGTAGCTCCCTATAGGGCTGGGCCATATCATACCGTTCACGGTAATACCGGTATAATGTTGGGCAACGATAAGAAAATGAAATATTGCGATAGAATATGGGTAAAACGCGCATGCGCAGTGCCTTTGTCTTCATGCCGACATGGCAGAAAAAGCATGGCGGCGAAGGAGAATGAGAAGGGTGAAAACGGATCGTTGAATGAAACAGATGAACCAGAATTGGTTTGTTAAAATGGTGCAACTTCAGTGGTGTGGAACGAATAGTTCAATTCAATTCAATTCAATTTTATTTATATAGCACCAAATCACAACAAAAGTCGCCTCAAGGCGCTTCATAGATACAGAGAAAAACCCAGTAATCATATGACCTAGAGCTGGGCAATATAAGATTTTTTTCATATCATGATGTTTTTTTCATTTCAGGCGATAACGATATCTATCACGATATAAGCCAAATAACTATATTTGTAAGATTTAATGTGCCGTTGCTCACAAGTAAAATGTGAAATAATCAGCAGCTTGTTTTTATTTAAATATTTATTTCCCATAATAAGTTCAAGAGGGTAGATGTACTTCAGGAACATGAGACTTTTTCAGATAAATAAAGGCAAATATGGCAAGATACACAAAAGGCAGCCGCTGAAGCGTTTAAGTTTCAAAATAGAACAAACAAAACAGACTACTAAATTGTCAATTCCACTTAGAAACAAAATATTAATTCTAAAAATAAATCTTAGTAAGTTTTACAGAAGATCAGACAAAATTGACTAACTTTTGTCAATATCAAATAAACTGAGAACTAAAAGGGAATTCTCAATCTCTCCTTGTTGTATAGCTTAGCTTTTCAAACAGTTACTTTAATCTGACAAAAGCCGAATGACGAATTAGCGCTTCCAGTCAGAGA